GGAGGGATCAGATGGTGTTCTCCTTTAACTGGATGAGATGGCCTTCAGGAGTTCCTTCCAACTCTAGGATCTATGTCTGGATGGCCATCTGTCGGGAGGGTTCAGATGGTGTTCTCCTTTAACTGGATGAGATGACCTTCAGGAGTTCCTTCCAACTCTAGGATTCTGTGATATACCTCTCTCTTTCTCTCTCTCTATATATATTATAATACCTATGTTTAGATGGTCGGGAATGATCAGATGGTGTTCTCCTTTATGGATGAGGAATGAGCTGGTTTTCCCTGTAAGAGGCAGTAAGAGCACCTAAAGCTTCAAAGAGCTTCTATTCGACTGTTTCAAAGCTTGAGTGTTGATGGCATGATCGTCAGCATAGATGAAATTCTGTCCTGTCTTGACAGTGGCAGGTCATTTGTGTCAATGCTGGACATTGATGGCGCCAGCACTTCTTGATCGTAATAGTGGTCATTATTATTATTCCCCAGGTCTCAAACCATGGAATAATAATAATAATAATAATAATAATATCATTATTCATAGATCGTTGTTGTGGTTGTTAGGTCTGCTTCTCTGATAATAATGATAGTCTTCCTTTGGCAGCTCTCGGAGGAGAAGGAGCTCTTGGAGCTGCGCTGCGCCTCCCTCCGGAACGACAACCGGATCTACCAGGACCGCATCCAGACCGTTCTGCAGCAGTTGGAGGAAGTGGCCGGCGAGAGGGACCAGGTGAGGTTCATGGGTCCACGTTCGGAGGCTTGGGGCCATTCCAGAGACGCCGGCCTATGACCAGATTGAGTCTAACCCAATTCCCCCCCATTGACCGGCAGGGCCTCGCGACCCAGGAAGTCCTCCAGCGCCAGTATTCCAAAAGCCTGCGCGAGAAGGACGTCTACAGGAAGCAGATCCGTGACCTCGGGGAAAAGATCAACGACCTCCAGCTCCAGCTCTTCCAGAAGGAAAGGCAGCTGCACACCATCAGAACCCAGAGGGAACCATTGCAGCCCGACCCTTCAGCTCTGGTACGCTTCAATGGATTGACTACTACCTCGAACGGTCTCTGGGGCTGCCCTGGAAGACTGTAACCCAAAAGTCCCATTTGACAGCTCTGGTACGCTTCAATGGAGTGACTACTACCTCGAACGGTCTCTGGGGCTGCCCTGGAAGACTGTAACCCAAAAGTCCCATTTGACAGCTCTGGTACGCTTCAATGGAGTGACTACTACCTCGAACGGTCTCTGGGGCTGCCCTGGAAGACTGTAACCCAAAAGTCCCATTTGACGGCTCTGGTACGCTTCAATGGAGTGACTACTACCTCGAACGGTCTCTGGGGCTGCCCTGGAAGACTGTAACCCAAAAGTCCCATTTGACGGCTCTGGTACGCTTCAATGGATTGACTACTACCTCGAACGGTCTCTGGGGCTGCCCTGGAAGACTGTAACCCAAAAGTCCCATTTGACGGCTCTGGTACGCTTCAATGGAGTGACTACTACCTCGAACGGTCTCTGGGGCTGCCCTGGAAGACTGTAACCCAAAAGTCCCATTTGACAGCTCTGGTACGCTTCAATGGAGTGACTACTACCTCGAATAGTCTCTGGGGCTGCCCTGGAAGACTGTAACCCAAAAGTCCCATTTGACGGCTCTGGTACGCTTCAATGGAGTGACTACTACCTCGAACGGTCTCTGGGGCTGCCCTGGAAGACTGTAACCCAAAAGTCCCATTTGACGGCTCTGGTACGCTTCAATGGAGTGACTACTACCTCGAATAGTCTCTGGGGCTGCCCTGGAAGACTGTAACCCAAAAGTCCCATTTGACGGCTCTGGTACGCTTCAATGGAGTGACTACTACCTCGAATAGTCTCTGGGGCTGCCCTGGAAGACTGTAACCCAAAAGTCCCATTTGACGGCTCTGGTACGCTTCAATGGAGTGACTACTACCTCGAATAGTCTCTGGGGCTGCCCTGGAAGACTGTAACCCAAAAGTCCCATTTGACGGCTCTGGTACGCTTCAATGGAGTGACTACTACCTCGAATAGTCTCTGGGGCTGCCCTGGAAGACTGTAACCCAAAAGTCCCATTTGACGGCTCTGGTACGCTTCAATGGAGTGACTACTACCTCGAATAGTCTCTGGGGCTGCCCTGGAAGACTGTAACCCAAAAGTCCCATTTGACGGCTCTGGTACGCTTCAATGGAGTGACTACTACCTCGAATAGTCTCTGGGGCTGCCCTGGAAGACTGTAACCCAAAAGTCCCATTTGACGGCTCTGGTACGCTTCAATGGAGTGACTACTACCTCGAATAGTCTCTGGGGCTGCCCTGGAAGACTGTAACCCAAAAGTCCCATTTGACGGCTCTGGTACGCTTCAATGGAGTGACTACTACCTCGAACGGTCTCTGGGGCTGCCCTGGAAGACTGTAACCCAAAAGTCCCATTTGACAGCTCTGGTACGCTTCAATGGAGTGACTACTACCTCGAACGGTCTCTGGGGCTGCCCTGGAAGACTGTAACCCAAAAGTCCCATTTGACAGCTCTGGTACGCTTCAATGGAGTGACTACTACCTCAAATAACCCGAGGATGTGGACAAGATACTTGGAGGAATGAGGCCAACCACATGCATCCTGGACCCCTGCCCATCCTGGCTTCTAAAGGAGGCCAGAGGGGGATTGGCTGAGTGGGTTAAGGTGGTGGTTAATGCTTCCCTTCGGGAAGGCAAGAT